GAGCTGCAGCCACACACAGGGCTGTCCAGCCGGCGAGCGCTGCCGCGTCCAGAACGGCCTCCTGGGCTGCTATCCCGACCGCTTCGGGAGTTGCCAGGCGTCTGGGGACCCGCACTACGTGAGCTTCGACGGCCGGCGCTTCGACTTCATGGGCACCTGCACCTACCTGCTGGCCGGCTCGTGCGGCCAGAACGCGGCCCTGCCCTCCTTCCGGGTGCTGGTGGAAAATGAGCATCGGGGCAGCCAGACCGTTAGCTACACGCGTGCTGTGCGCCTGGAGGCCCGCGGCGTGAAGGTGGCGGTGCGCCGGGAGCATCCTGGGAAAGTGCTGGTGAGCACCAGGCAACCGGGTCCAGGGGAGGAGGAGGGGCGGGCATTTCTCCCCAAGAGTGGGTGGGGCTGTTAGAAGGCCTGTGGTCAGTGAGGAAAGCCAGGGTCCCAACCAGGCGCTGTTGCCTCTCCTTGACTGTGTGACTTTGGCTCTTCCGGCCTTAGTTTTGTCCTCTGTCAAATGAGATAATAAGAAGGCGCCTGAGTAGAAGCCACTTCACAAGGTGGTTGTGAGAATTAGCCCAGTTAATATTAGTACAGTATTAAAAGACCCTTGAGGCCCAGCAGATGTCCAGTAAATGTTAACTTAATATTGTGTTGATATGCACCCTCCAAAGTTATAGATTTGTGCATTTTATGGTTGATTTTCAGAGGGTAAGGCGACCTGTAAAAGGTCGGGAACTAGAGGTGTGTGCGTTGGGGGGTGGGGGGTGAGAGGGGAGAGCGCAAAGAGCAGCATGCTTCTGGGCAGAGGGCTCTCAGGTGACCCACCACCCAGCAGACGTCAAGACCCATTGCTTTACTCTTTTAAGAAAAGATAAAAATCGGGAGGTGGGGTTGTTGTAAGATTCACAACAATAAGTTGATAATTATTATCGAGAAGGTTGGGGCAGCGGCCCAGACTTTCAGGAGGAAGATGAATGGGAAATGGAAAAACCAAGGGAATTTTCCATGTGCCAGGCACTGTGCCAAACACTTTACAGGCCTTCACTCTTAATCCTGTAAACCCAACGCTGTTGGAGTAAAGGAAATTCTGCCCACAAAGCCTAGTGTTTGACAAGGAGAAGCCCCTTGATAAGCAGAGGACATAAATGCCAGTATTCATGTTCTCACCTTTCTGAAAAGACATTTAGACGGAGGCTTGGATAATAATAGCTAACATATATTCTTACTTCGATGTGTTAAACGCTTGACCTACAGTAACTCAATGAATTTCCACAGCCACCTTGTGAAATAGCTGATCTAGTTAGATGAGGAAACTGAGGCATAGAGCGGTTAAGTGACCACTTACTCAAGGGGACACATCAATGAGTGGCAGAGCCAGGATTTGAAGCCACGCTTCTCCAGAGTCCATACTCTCAAACACTGCCTTCTAGTGCCTCTCCCGAAGAAAGAGATGGAACAGGCAGGGAGATAAGTGGATGGAAAGGTGTTCCTCCTAGAAAGAACAGCAAGTGCAAAGACTTCGAGGGAGGAACAAACATGAGAGGTAGCGGAACATCATGGCGGCCAGTGGGGCTAGAATAGAGGGAGAGAGGGAAGAACGAGGTAGGGGATAATGGAGGGGATTGCTGTGATAGAGGCATTTGATTTAAGTTAAAAACTAAAAGAGGAGGAAGAGACCACCAGGGGAAAAGTCGTTATTCCTAGGCAGGGGGAACAATAGGTGCAAAGGCTGAGGCTGGACTGAGCTTGAAGAGTGTAGAACAGCATGGGGCCAATGAGGTTGCCCCTGAGAGAGTGAGATTAGGAAGATGGAATACAGGGGCTGCTAGGAGATGAGATCAGAAAAGTGGGGACAAGCAGGGCCTGGTGGGTAGAAGGGTTCTATTTTAAGCCGAGAGGTGAAAGCGGCCAGGCAAAGAATAGGGATGAGGAAGAGGGTAGACATGTGGCAGTGAAGGGTACAGCAAGTGCAAAGGCCCTGGGGCTGGGCTGAGCTGGGTGAGTTCAGGAGAATATCAAAATGCCTGCATGACTGGAGTTTCAGGGGTGGGGAATGGGATAATTAAGTTGAAGAGTAGTGGGTCTTAGGTCATCTAGGGCTTTTTAGGCCATTGTAAGGGGCTTGGAGACAAGCTGACACCTAAAAGGTGAAGTAGAGGTGGCCAAGTGAGGAGTGATGGGTGGTATTCTAGGAAGAGGGCAAAGCAAGTGCAAAGGCCCTGAGGTGGGAATGTACTTGATATGTTCAGGGAGACACCGAGGAGGCTAAGCGAGTGAGGTGGTAGGTGTTGCAGGCACAAAGGTGGAGAGAGCCAAGGTTAAGCAGGACCTTCTAGAGTAGGAACTTGGATTTAAGCCAAGTACTGAAGGATGAAGGGAAAGCAGCCAGGACAAAAGTACTAGCTGATGTTCTTGGCAACGTAAAAAGGCCCTAAAGTTAGACTAAACTGGAAGAGTTAGAGGAATATCAAGAAAGCCAGTGTCGCTGGAGCAGAATGAGTGAGGAGGAGGGTGTGAAGAAGTGAGGTCAGGGAGGTCATGGGGAGACAGAGTCTGAAGGCTTTGAAGGCCATGAGTTAGGGATTTGGATTTAAATTGATGCTTGAAGTATGAAGAGAGGTGAATGGTGTGCTAGGCAGAGGGAACGGCAAGTGCAAAGGCTCTGAGGGGGGACCAAGCGTAATGTGCTCAAGGGAATAGCAAGAAGCTGAGGCTAGCTGGAGCTGATTGAATGAGGGTTGAGCTACAGAGCCATGAATACACCCTGACCCCTTGGCTCTCCTGCATCTCTACCCAGGTGGATGGCATCCTTCAGTACCTGCCCTTCCAGGCAGCAGATGGGCAGGTCCAGGTGTTCCGCCAGGGCCAAGATGTAGTCATTCGCACAGACTTTGGCCTGACTATCACCTATGACTGGAATGCCCGTGTGACTGCCAAGGTGCCTGGAAGCTATGCCGGGGCCCTGTGTGGGCTCTGCGGGAACTTCAATGGGAACCCAGATGACGATCTGGCTCTGCGGGGTGGGGGCCAAGCTAACAATGCACTGGACTTTGGGAACAGCTGGCAGGAGGAGACAAGGCCAGGTTGTGAAGCAACCAAGCCAGGTGACTGTCCCAAGCTGGATTCTCTGGTGGCCCAGCAACTGCAGAGCAAGAAGGAGTGTGGGATCCTTGCTGACCCCAAAGGGCCCTTCCGGGAGTGCCACCGCAAGCTGGACCCACAGGGCGCTGTGCGCGACTGCGTCTACGACCTCTGCCTGCTGCCAGGCCAGTCTGGGCCACTGTGTGACGCATTAGCTGCCTATGCTGCTGCGTGCCAGGCCACTGGGGCCACTGTGCACCCCTGGAGGAGTGAGAAACTTTGCCGTGAGTACCAGTAGTGAAAACTGGGGTCTCAGTCTTGTGTGTATTCATGAACATATACGTATCATTAATTCATTTAATTCTTATAACCGCCATATGAGGTAGGAACTGTGGTTTTGCCCATTTAAAAGATGAAGAACCTGAGGCCCAGAAAGGATCAGTTACATGCCCAGGATCATGACAGCTAGGAAATCACAGATGCAGTAAATATTTGTAAGGTGACTGGATACATCTGGTGGCCTCGGGTCTGGTTGCCATAAGGCAGTTGTCATTCAGAGATGAGCAGTGGTACTGCCTTTAGAAGGAGCCCTGTTCCCTCTTTAGTTCTTCTTGGTCCCCATCTGGTCTACTTCACTCGTGTACAACATCTGCCTGGCCCCTGGGGTAGTCAATTTGAGACCCTCGCATCCGATGTGGCTGCAGGAATGGTCTTCACACAGTTTTGCTGGCCTATAAGAGAAGTTCACAAAGCCATGCATCCCTTCACCTGATTTTTACATTTTAAAATTTATTGTTGAAATGTAAACACATGTTTAAATATACATAAGTAGAAGCTTAACCATTTTTCAGCAAGAGAACAAATTTGCATAACCTGTCCCAAGAATCATAAAAAAGAGCATACAAGGCCCCTCCACTGCTCCAGAAGCCCCTTCATGCCCTCTTCCTGGCCCTATAACCCAAGAGGTAACCACTATTCTGACATCTAAAGTTTCTGAACTTAATATAAGTGCAAGTTTACATCTATAGTTTCCATTCCACAGAATAATGAGAAACAATAAGTACCTGTTGTTTTAATTCACTAAGCTTTGGGGATGTTTGTTACCCAGCAAAAGCTACCTGATGCAGTGATCAAAAAAGAGACTTCAGTGTATATAACTGTTACAATAGGTTAAATACTGTTGAAACTAAAAACCAGTTCACCAGTTCCTTGACATCATCCAAAACCCAACCTGGGTTTCAGTTTCCCCAGTTCTCTAAGAAAAATGTGTTTTTTCAGTTTATTTGAATCTGAATTCAGACTAAGCCCACACAATGCATTGGTTTGATTTTTCTAAAATCACTTTTACCTGTAACAGTCTCCTCCCTTCTCCCCCAATATATTATTATGAAATTTTTCAAACATACAGAAAAGTTGAAAGAATTTTAGCCCTAGTGGGTTTGGCTCAGTGGATAGAGCATCAGCCTGTGGACCAAAGGATCCCGGGTCCAATTCCAGTCAAGGGCACATACCTCAGTTGCTGGCTTCTCCCTGGCCTGGGCCCTGGTCAGGGAGTGTGCGGGAGGCAACCAATTGATGTATTTCTCTCACATCAATATTTCTCTCTGTCTTTCCTTCTCTCTTCCACTCTCTCTAAAAATCAATGGGAAAGTATCCTCAAGTGAGGATTAAAAAAGAAAAAGAAAAAAAAAGAATTTTATATTTGCCATCAAGATTCTACAGTCTAATTTTATTATATTTTCTTTGTCTCATACCTATCTCTCTATCCACCCTCCTTTTTGTTCATGCCACTTGTTTATTGGAAAATAACAGGTCATTTGCCCAGATTTCCTATTGTCTGGACTTGGCTAGTTGCTTCTTTATAGTGTTATTTAATTTGTCCCATTGTCTAGCCTAGTGCTTCCCAATATGGGGCATGCACCCCACAGGGGGGCAATTTGACTTTTAAGGGGGGCAATTCGAGAATGAGTTATTAACAGTGAATTTTTTGTATTTCTTATGGTTCTAGGGGCCTCATATACAGCATATAAGTATACTAGTATATTGTGACATATTTATGCATTTCAGTTCTCTATTATGTTTTGAAATTTTATTTGCTATTTTTTCATATCACTCGTATTATTATTTTTTAACAATTTCTTAGTGATTTCTTCCTTAGTACTTCAACTGTCCTTATGTTCTTTTATTTTTCTCTTTCATTGATGCCATGTTCTTTGGAAGCTTGTTTAGAGCAAATTAATGGCCTTTTAGGCTTCATCCATGAAAATAGGAGTTCACTTTTTAAAAAATATATTTTTATTGATTTCATAGAGGAAGGGAGAGGGAGAGAGAGATGGAAACATCAATGATGAGAGAGAATCATTGACTGGCTGCCTCCTGCACACCCCCTACTGGGGATCGAGCCCACAACCCAGGCATGTGCCCTTGCCTGGAATTGAACCCAGGACCTTTCAGTCCACAGGCTGACACTCTATCCACTGAGCCAAACCAGCTAGGGCTAGGAGTTCACTTTTTGAATAATAAGAATAATGTGTCACGGGGGCGGGGGGTGGAGGCGGCGGTGTATCAGGATTTTAGAGATGCGTAGGTGGGGCATGGCCAAAAAAAAGGTTGGGAACCACTGGTGTAGCTGGATTTTCTTGTAAACTGGATATTAGGTCTAGAACGGTGCTATTCAATAGAACTTCGGTGCTAATGGAAATGTTCCATATGGGAGTTGTCTCATGTGGCTATTGAGCACTTGAAATGGGGCTATTGTGACCAAGAAACTAAATCTTCCATTTTATTCCATTTTAATTGCATTACACTTAAATGGCCACAGTGGCTATTGTATTGAGCTGCACAGATAGAGGACTCTGATTGGGTTCAGTTTTAGTTTCTCATTGTTGTTGGTGGTGGTGGGTTTTCTTTTAGGAGTGAGTAGGGTTTGGAGAGAGGAACAGGGATTTTTTTTTTTTAAATATATTTTATTGATTTTTTACAGAGAGGAAGGGAGAGAGACAGGAAGCTAGAAACATCGATGAGAGAGATACATCGATCAGCTGCCTCCTGCACATCCCCCACTGGGGATGTGCCCGCAACCCAGGCATTTTCTTTACAACGTGGCCAAATATTTTAATCTATAGAATTACTACTCCTACTATAGAATAAAAAAGCTAAGAGCTCTGCATTCACAAATACACTGCATAGATCACACACACACACACACACACTCACTATATACATGCATACATATGTTTAAAATACGTACCACATATGCACTTGTTACCAATTTGAATAAGTTCACTGAAAACATTACAGATGACCCGAACCCCAGTTAAATAAGAAAAAATTCTAATTATCAGTATTAGATTAACTGTGATACCATCTGTTTCCCCAGGCCCCACTCAACAGAGGGAGTCTTTGCAGCTGGACCACTTATGTGTGAATGTGCGTGTGTGTGTGTGTGTGTGCACATGCATGTGTGTCAGGAGGTCAACTGTGTCACCGGAGTCAGGGTTTCTCAATTCTGACAGCTACTTTCCTTGCAGCACTGAGCTGCCCGCCCCACAGTCACTACGAGTTGTGTTCCCGTGGCTGCCCACTGTCCTGTGGAGACCTCCCAGTGCCCGGGGGCTGTGGCTCTGACTGCCATGAGGGCTGCGTGTGCGATGAGGGCTTTGCGCTCAATGGTGAGTCCTGCGTGCCCCTGTCCTCCTGTGGCTGCTTGTACCAGGGCATCTATCATCCTCCGGGCCAGACCTTCTATCCTGGACCAGGGTGCGATTCCCTTTGCCACTGCCAGGAGGGCGGCCTGGTATCCTGTAAGCCCTCCACCTGCGGCCCGCATGAGGCCTGCCAGCCATCTGGTGGCATCCTGGGCTGCGTGGCTGTGGGCTCTGCCACCTGCCAGGCGTCAGGAGACCCTCATTACACCACCTTCGACGGCCGCCGGTTTGATTTCATGGGCACCTGTGTGTACGTGCTGGCTCAGACCTGTGGGACCCGGCCTGGCCTGGACCAGTTTGCTGTCCTGCAGGAGAATGTGGAGTGGAACAATAGGAAAGTCAGTGTGACCCGGGTGGTCACTGTCCAGGTGGCTAACTTCACCCTGCGGCTGGAACAGAAACAGTGGAAGATCAAGGTGAGAGCAGGGATGGAACCTGAAGCGGGTGGGGGTCCAGGATAGAAGGTGATCTGCGGGTGGGACCCAGGCAGCACTCAGCCCAAGGTCAGGAGACATAGGGCTCAGAGTGGATGTGGGAGGCATGGGGCTCCCAAGGCGAGGGCTTGCCAATCAGAGCCCAGAGTGGGGAGCCAAGGGACATGAGACCTGTTTTCATGTGGCTCAGTCTTCCCTCTCTCTGCCCGTTGACTATTCCCTCTGAATGTCTCTCCCACACCCTCTTTCCTTCCCCTCCATCCTGGTCCTTGCCCCAGCCACTTCCCTCGTCTCCCAGCCTGTGGCAGAACATGATGCAATTAGAGGTTGGTAAAGTTCAAGGATGGGAGAGGGGTCAAGGACAGAGGATGATCTGTGGATAATGCCATCACTCCATAATAGCCACAACCACAACAATAACAGAATTATGGTTTTATGCAGCTGACTCCAGACCTCGGCGGCTACGCTCTTCATTCCTACAGGGTCATTTGGTCCTCCCAGCAGCAGCTAGAGTGCCATGATTCGCTTAATTTTTTCGAGGGGAAGTCTCATCATTGGCCCAAAGGCCCCCAGCAAAAGCAGGACTTGAACCCAAGATGGTGTGCCAGGAGACAGCATGCTGGGCCCTGGGTGCTCTGATGCTTTTCTGATCGAGAAGGATTTGGTCTCAGAGGGGAACTGGCATTTCACTTACACTAGAGGGTTTTCCCCCAGAGATCCCACTACAGTTCAGGCACATGGTTGTTGTACTAGTAGCAATATTGACGATGAGGATGCTGATGAATAGCTGACTATTTCATGTGCTCATGGATTTGATGTTTATATATAGTCCCTGGTATAAGCAAGCTCCTAGAATACCACCTGGCATATTCCTGGCTCAAAATGCATGAGCTGTTGGTATTGTTATTTTCACCTCATTGAATCCCCCAGCTTTGCCATGAAGTGGGAACTATTAATATTCCCACTATACAGATGAGGGAACTGAGGCATGGGAGAGGGGCACAAGTCATTTGTCCTTAACCACTGCCCCTTCCTGCTTGGGAAGAATGGTTGACTCTATTTAGGAGACTCAGTCAGGAGCATGTCTTTCTCCTACCTTCTCTTCTGATTCCTCACACTTTCAGAACAACCTAATGTTCACTGTGTCTGCGTTGTAAAAGGCCGAGCAAGCACGTTAATCAGAGGTGGGTTTACAAGGCTTTGCTGGTGTCCAGCAGCCTTACACTGAAACCAATGATTTTTGGTTCATGGACTTGAAGTCATTTCCCTAGAAATTTAACCTGACTTTCCACTCACTGATGCTTAAGGCAAAAACCCTTCGCACCCATTTACTCTTCAAAATAAAAACTTCCAGTCCTAGCTAATAATAATAGCAAGTGTTCCCAGAACACCCGTTCTGAAGGAACACCCGTTCTATGCCAGATACGCTTCTTAGCACTTGGCAAATATTAATATATCAAATCCTGACAACAGCACCATGGGGTAAGTACCTCATTCCTACTCAGTAGGCGAGGAAGCAGAAACGAGAGATGACCTCCTGCCCAAGGTCACAGGAAGACTGTAGGGGGCAGAGCTGGTTTGAACCCAGGCTCCGCAGTAAGTGGTGACAAAACAATGACTGGTCAGGTTTTATTCCGTTGAGACCTGGGTTAGTTTCTTGTGGCTTAAAACAACAGAAATTTATTTCTCACAGTTGTGAACGTCAGAAGTCCAAAATCATAGGGCTGCACCCCCTTCCAAGGCTCTAGGGGAGAATCCTCCCTTGTCCCTTCCAGCTCTTGGAGATTCCAGGAGTTCCTTGGCTTGTAACCGCATCTCCCCACTCCAATCCTGTGTTCATCTTCACTGGCCTTCTCTGGGTATTTCTGTGTCTTTTCTTCTGGCTCTTCTAAGGCCATTTGCCATTGGACAGAGGGCTCACCCTAATCCAGGATGAATTCATCTTCACTGGCCTTCTCTGAGTATTTCTGTGTCTTTTCTTCTGGCTCGTCTAAGGCCATTTGCATTGGACAGAGGGCTCACCCTAATCCAGGATGATCCCATCTCAAGATCATTATCCTAATTACATTCGCAAAAACCCTTATTTAGAATGAGGTCGTATTCTAACGTCCTGGGTGGACATATCTTTTGGGGACCACCATTCAGCCCACCAGC